GGCTGACAGGGGCCGTGACCCCGGCTGACAGGGCTCACCTGACCGGGTCACGTGGACACATCACGTGGACCGAGACAAGACTTTTTTTATATTCGCAGATCCAAAAACCCATAGGACATTTCTCCCAGGGGGGAAGAAAACCTCCCTTGACCCCCCTGTTTCTCGACGGATCCTGCCGGCCGGGCCCGTCAGTAGAGCGACTGCAGCCTTCAGCCCCGCCTCAGACCCCCTGGAGGCCCGCCAGGAGGCTAAGTGTCCGGAGATTGGCCGGGGGCCTGATCTCTCCGGGCGGCCGTGACCGGTCAGCGGACCGTGTCAGCAGGCCCGTGACATGTCAGCCGGCTGACAGGGGCCGTGACCCGGCTGACAGGCTCACCTGACCGGTCACGTGACACATCACGTGACCGAGACAAGACTTTTTTATATCGCAGATCCAAAAACCCATAGGACATTTCTCCCAGGGGGAAGAAAACCTCCCTTGACCCCCCTGTTTCTCGACGGATCCTGCCGGCCGGGCCCGTCAGTAGACCGACTGCAGCCTTCAGCCCCGCCTCAGACCCCCTGGAGGCCCGCCAGGAGGCTAAGTGTCCGGAGATTGGCCGGGGGCCTGATCTCTCCGGGCGGCCGTGACCGGTCAGCGGACCGTGTCAGCAGGCCCGTGACATGTCAGCCGGCTGACAGGGGCCGTGACCCGGCTGACAGGCTCACCTGACCGGTCACGTGACACATCACGTGACCGAGACAAGACTTTTTTATATCGCAGATCCAAAAACCCATAGGACATTTCTCCCAGGGGGAAGAAAACCTCCCTTGACCCCCCTGTTTCTCGACGGATCCTGCCGGCCGGGCCGGTCAGTAGACCGACTGCAGCCTTCAGCCCCCCCTGGAGGCCCGCCAGGAGGCTAAGTGTCCGGAGATTGGCCGGTGGCCTGGGGCCTGATCTCTCCGGGCGGCCGTGACCGGTCAGCGGACCGTGTCAGCAGGCCCGTGACATGTCAGCCGGCTGACAGGGGCCGTGACCCGGCTGACAGGCTCACCTGACCGGTCACGTGACACATCACGTGACCGAGACAAGACTTTTTTATATCGCAGATCCAAAAACCCATAGGGCATTTCTCCCAGGGGGAAGAAAACCTCCCTTGACCCCCCTGTTTCTCGACGGATCCTGCCGGCCGGGCCGGTCAGTAGACCGACTGCAGCCTTCAGCCCCGCCTCAGACCCCCTGGAGGCCCGCCAGGAGGCTAAGGTACGGGTACAGGAAGCCCGTCCTCTCGCGGGGGAGGTGGTCCTGCATGCACATGTCCAGCTCCCAGCCCGACCCGGACGCCGATCTCCGCCACGTCCGCATCGTCTCGCCCTGGGAGGGGCTGGGGACCGGGCTGCCGGCGGTGCCGAGCACGCTGGAAGGGTTGGTGGCGCAGGAGGGGAGGAGGTAGGCGTAGTCCCGGTCGCAGGTGTGGGGGTGGACCTTGAGGATCTCGCGGTCGAAGAGGCTCTTCCTCACCTCCGACGCGGCCACGTAGGGGCTGGTGCTGTACCACAGAGCCCTGGGATCGAGCCCCACCAGCTGGCCGGGGAACGCCGACGTGTTGGCCCCCCTCCGCAGCATGTCGCTGTACTCGAACCAGTCGCGGAAGCCGCACATGCCGTGCCGGGAGAGGAAGTCGGAGACGTTCTGCCAGGGGGAGTAGCCCAGCGACTCCACAGGGCACTGCTCCGAGTGGGCGTGGAACTCGGCGGAGTAGCCCACCCTGTTCCGCATCAGAAGCCGGCCGTCCACGCACCTCCCGTTGGCCCCGCAGACCTGCCCCTTGCCCTCGCAGTGGTAGTTCTGGTAGCACTCCAGCGGCTCCACCCCCTGGATCGCGCAGACGCCGTCCCGGGGCGCCTGCTGGGACTCGGACCAGGAGCGCAGGCACACCAGCTTCGCCCCGTTGACCGAGCCGCAGTCGGTGTCGTTCAGGCAGGTCTTCAGGGGCAGCTGGCCGCACTGCGGGCCCCACGCCGGCGCCGTGCCCTCGGGCAGCTCGTACAGGGTGAGGTCCTGGCCGGCCATGGGCCAGACGAGCGCCGCCGACGCCATCCCCGGCACCCACAGGTACAGGAGGCCGGAGCTGGGCGCGGGGGTGTCGCCCAGCCTGCCCCGCGTCGGCACCTGCGTCCAGCTCCCCGCCGCCAGCGTCTGGGTGTAGGTCCCGGCACCCGGGGGCACCGTCGCCCCGACCGGCTGGGTGGGGTCGTAGGTCTGCCCGTCCCTCCACCTGGCCTGCAGCCTCGCGTTGTTGGTCCCGAACATGGGCATGCCGTACGACGCCCCCGAGCAGGTAGCGGCGCCGCCGAAGTAGTTGCGCAGCAGGGTGTCGTTGCGCAGGCGCTCGTAGTCGACGGACATCCAAGTGTCGAAGGCGCGGAAGGCCGTCTCGTCGTGCGTGCATCCCGTGCTCACGTGGTACCCGCTGGGGTGGATCCAGTCCGACGGCCAGTAGTCCAGCACGGCGTCGCAGTACTCCCGCCCCCCCAGCGCGGCGCCAGCGGAGACGAGGCCCTCCCCTGCCTTGCTCCCGGCCACGATCTCATAGGATACCGGTGGTAGTGTACCCCATGGTTTTTGAGGGGTGTTGCTCGGTAATATCAGTGGTAGGGGTGCTTCAAATTTTGAACTGGCGTGTCCATTTGTTTTAACGGCAATGAATTGTTTATTCGAATCCGTGGTACAAACAGTTGTACTGTGTAACGGTTTATAACTGCAGCAGGTCCTGGTAGTTGTAGTTGTAGGTCACGATCGAGTCGGAGATGGCCGCGGCCCAGTAGTCGATCTGCAGGTCGTTGACGACCCCCCAGATGTCGGAGAGCTGCATGTCCGGGCAGGTCCAGGCGCTGCTCCAGGTGGCGTCCATCACCCGGTAGACCGTCACCCAGTCGTCGAAGGTGATGTAGCTCCCGGCCGTGCAGATGGCCTGGAACGCCTTGATCGTGCCGGCCGCCACCGTGGTCAGCGACTGGAGGTTGGCCGTCGCGCACACGAGCGGGTCGATGCGGCACAGGCTGCCGTCCGGCGTGGTCCAGCCGCAGTAGCACCGCTGGGTGAAGGCGGAGACGTTCTGCCCCTGGGGCCCGTAGGCCGGCAGGCTCAGCGTGGCCAGGTACCCGGACACCGCGTAGGTGGAGCCGAACGCCAGCGGGATCTGCGGGCCCCTGTCCGAGGCCAGCGTCTTGTTCGTCACCGGCGCCACCCTCGCCCCGCGGGTGCGGCAGCGCATGCTGTACGAGGGCATGTAGCGCAGCTCGCCGCCCGCCACGCCCCAGTAGAACGGGGAGTCGAGCTTGGCCTTGCCCAGGATGTTGCTCACCGTCTCCTCGATCTGGTCGACGAAGAGGGCCGAGGAGGGGCTGGCGACGGGGTCGTACTGGAATGTCCCCGCCCCGGACGCCGTGGCGAAGGAGGAGAGCGTGGGGTCCAGCGGCAGCGTCGCGAAGGTCTGCGAGACGAGGTTCACGCACACGTCCCACAGGGAGTGGTTCTTCCTCGCGTCCAGCACCTCGGACTCACCATACGTCGAGACCGGCTCGAACGGCCCGAAGAGCGCCTCGTCCCTCCCCTGCGCCGTCTGGGCGGAGGTGAGCGCGGGGGCGTAGGTGCCGAAGAGGGTGCGGTTGAAGTAGACGTCCTCGTCGATGTACTGCAGGATGAGGTCGAAGATGGTGTCGAGCACGTCCTCGCTGCTGAGGATCGAGTAGTCGATGGCCTGCATCTCCGGGGAGGACCACCCGCCGGGGTTGGCCGCCGTGCAGCAGTCCACCCGGTTGGAGCCGTCGGGGCAGGCGCAGGCGTAGTTGGCCAGGTTGGTGAAGATGTCCTTGAACTCGCGGAGCTTGGCCCGGACCCCCTCCTGCACCGCGTTGGCGAGGATGGAGTTGGTGGCCGAGCCCGGGCTGCTCCGGAGCTTGTCAATGAAACCATGAACGATCGCCATCCTCGCTGGCCCGCCGCACGAGAAGGGCGACTCCTGGGGGCAGCAGGCGTCGACGCCCGGCTTGCAGCTGGCGGACGGCACCATGAAGGTCCGGTCGGTGGGGCTGTTCCTGTAGTACAGCATGGTCCCCAGGGACCTGGAGCCGCCCGAGGGCCAGAGCTCCGCCGACGCGAACGGCCCCATGAAGTAGCAGTCGAAGAACTGGTGCAGGACGTCGCCCTCCACGGAGAAGAAGCTGGCCTGCAGCGACGGGTTGCTCCACTTGAGGAGGGTGTCGGTGAAGAAGCCCTCGGCCTCCCGCAGGATGGCGAGCTGGTCGCTGGCCGCCGCGGCGAGCAGGGTGCTGGAGCCCGGCGGGTAGCTCACCGCGTGCAGAGAGGCGACGGGCACCCGGTTGGACGTCCTCCCGGACCAGATGTAGTAGGGGAGCTGGCACTGCGAGGCCGTCGAGCTGTTCAGGCACTGGCCGAACTCGTAGGCCACCGCGGGGTCGGGGTTCTGCGCGGGGCCGGTGAAGACCTCGCACCCGTCGATGTCGGCGAAGTCGGCGTTGTCGGAGACGAAGCCCACCACGTCGTAGCGGAAGTAGTTGGTGCGGGAGACGTTCATGAGCGTCAGCCAGCCCAGCAGGCAGGCGTCGTTCCCCGTCCCCAGCGCCAGGCTCTGCACCAGGCAGGTCAGCACCGAGGAGGGGACGAAGGAGGGCTGGTAGAACTGGTTGATCAGGTACCCCACCCCGGCGAGGTCGGAGTAGGCCAGGTAGTTGACCAGGTACGCCGCCCCCGAGTCCCACACCTTGTTCACGTAGTTGGAGCGGCAGCGCGTCAGCACCGTCCCGGGGTCCACCCCCTGCCGCTCCAGGTAGGGGAGCGAGGGCTTGAGCGCCTGGCAGTTGGACCCGCCCGTCCCCACGCAGGTGAGGTACTGGCTCATGCTCACCCGCGAGGCCGACGCCAGCTCCTCGAGCGTGTAGGGGTTGAAGACGAGGTAGGGCTTGCCGTCGGTGCCGAGTAGCTGCAGCGAGCCGGTGCACCAGAAGGCCTGCTGCTTGATCCCCTCGTTCCTCCGCGCCGTGCTGATCCTGTGGGCGTAGTCCCCGCAGGCGCAGCGGTACATGGTCTCGGTCGTCACGTCGGGGAGCTTGCAGTGCTTCTGGTCGATGGTCTGCAGGACGTCCATGAACCCGTACGTCACCCCGGAAGCGTAGGCCAGCATGGCGTCCACCATGTGGTAGGCCGGCGCCAGCTCCAGCGTGAAGCCCGCCCCGATCAGCCGGTTGCTCACCTGCGCCACCGCGTTGTTGAGCGAGTTGGACGAGCCGCCCAGCGCCTGGTTCTGCACGTCCTGCTGGAAGACCTGCGTGAGGCAGACCCCCGCCACGTCCCCGCTCACGGCCTGGATGCTCGGGTCGCCGATGACGAGCTGGAAGTTGCCCGTCAGGTCCGTGTTGAGGATGGCGGTGAGGCTGTTGGTCGTGCAGACGAAGGTCTTCTGGCCGGCGACGGCCGCGTACAGCGGGAGCAGGAGGATCTGCGAGAAGAGGTTGGTCATGCTCGCCATCGAGAGCGTCGCCCGCGCGTTGAAGCTCGGGTCGGTCGGGACGAGCCCCGCGCTGACCGTGCTGAGCACCTCCTGCGTCTTCATCGTGATGCCGTTCACCAGCGACATCAGCACCCCCACGGCCGACACGGTGATGTCCTTCATGTCGCACATGGCCGAGAAGAAGACCTGGTCCGGCCACTCGATCACCACCCGGTTCGTGATCTGGCCCGTGGACGCATCCACGATGAGCGCCATGCTCTGCGCGAAGATGAGGTAGACGTTCTGCAGCGTGAGGAGGGACTGCCGCATCACCTTGGACGCCATGGAGCCGATGGCGCAGAGCGGCCGCTGGAAGTTGACCTCCGTGCCGATGCACCTCGCCACGGCGCACTGGGAGGCGGCGTAGCAGAGGCTCTGCAGCGTCGGGTAGCCCATGCAGCCCGTGCAGTCGCTCACGCTGCAGTTCTTCTTCAGGGTCGTGAGCATCTGGTAGGACGACGAGTACGAGCGCGTCCCATTCCACGCCCCCGCGGCGACGTTGAGCCTCACGTCCGCCAGCCAAGTCGTCGTCACCTTCTGGTCCGCCACGGCGAAGATGGTCATCGAGCTCTGCTGCCCGGCCCCGTTCCAGCCCGACAGCGAGCTCTGCGCCAGCTTGGGGGACTGCCGGATGAAGAGGTTGTCCTGCGTCAGCGTGATCTGCGGCGTCGGCTTCGTGTTGAGCCCCAGGTCGGAGGCAAGGTGGGCGTCGCTCGCGGCCTGCACGCAGGACAGCACCCCGCCCGCCCGGTCGCACACGCTCACGGGCGCCCCGTCATCCGTCGGGAAGAGCGCCACCCCGGAGCAGGAGGGGCCGAGGCACGTCACGTAGGGGGTCTGCACGGCCGAGAAGACGTTGACCGAGCCGGCGCACCGGCGGATCGTGTAGGCGGAGCTCTTCAGGGCCGCCAGCGTGGCGAACTTCTTGGTGTCCACCGCGATGTGGAGGCAGACCGGGCCCGTGGAGGGGGTGCCCGAAGCGTCCCACGCCGTGGTCGTCGCCCGCACGAAGATGTCGGCCGTCCCGTCGTCGGGGAAGGTGACCATCTCGTCGATGCTGTAGACGTCCGTCAGCAGGACGGCCTTCTGCGCGCTGGGGATCGTCTGCAGCAGCGTGTAGCTCTGCCGCTGGTCGCTGATCAGGGAGACGTTGCTCGCCGTCGCCACCGCCAGGATGTTGCTGTGCCCCACCGAGTCGACGAGGCTCACGCTCACGTACTGCAGCCGCATGATCGCCGCCGACCAGGCCGAGCTTCCGGGCACGCTGTAGTCGATGGCGTTGGGGAACGAGCCGTCGGTCACCGTCGCGGAGGGCCGGAAGCCGGTCTTCAGGCTCGCAGGGAGGCAGTAGGCCTTCACCACGACGTTCAGCCCGGAGTCCAGCCCGGCCGCGGAGATGCACCGGTCCGGCTGGCTCGGCGCCCCGGACTGCGCCACGTCCCCGTAGCAGACCCGGTTGCAGCCCGACATCTCCACCAGGCTCATGATCTCGAACGGCAGCCTGTTCGTGCCGTAGTACTGCCCGTCGGAGGTGAAGAAGCGGCTCTCCACGCTCACCGTCTGGTTCATGCTGTAGACCAGGTCCTTGCCCTGCGAGACCTGCACCAGCGCGGAGTTGAAGGCGTCGTACTGCTCCCCGCACGCGATCTCGCACAGCCGCGTCGGACGGCAGTATCAAACGCGAATTATTTGATGCACGCTTTATTATTATTGGGAATATGTGCGGAGATATTATGGATGTCGGTGAACGAATGTTCTTGGCTGGCCATGATCCATCCGTCTTGTATAGAGTGAATGAGATAATGCTTCATCTCTGTATGGAGGCATTTGAAAAAGAATGGAACTACACAAAAAAGAGATTTATGGCTCCAATACCGCGCGATTCGTATTATATATTTAGAGGATCCATAATGGATTTGTATGATATGTGGATACAATTTTCATCGTTGTTGAGATGGTGTGATGCTTATCTTCAGAGCGATTTTTTTCGTCGTATGAAACGTGATTCTATGTCGTACGGGAAACTGTATAGTGTCTTTTTCAAAGAAGAACTGGATAACCTCGATGCTGTGGAGATCAGCCTGTTGTCTTTGGATCGTGTTCGAAGGCATCTGCTGGCTTTTAAAGAAGAAATGGATTATGCCATGCATTTGGACCATCCGTTTCAAGAACAATATTTTGCTCTTGTGGTACTTGGTGTTGATACCCTAATCTTAATGCTCGAGAGAATCTACTATTGCTACATCTCTTCGGATCTCAAGCAGCTAGTTAGGCAACGATATGCACCTGCTGTAAAATAAATCTGAATAACGCAACGGTTGAGCTGTAAAATCCATTAGGGGGAGTGGCTAAGATGGCGGGAGAAGGGGAGGGGCTTGGAGTGGCTCTGCCATGGAGTGCCTGGCATGCGCGTGGGGCGACATCGAGCGGCCGCCCGCTGGTTGGATCGACATGGCCATCAGCCTGAAGGTCTTTATCCAGGTTCCCTGCATCGACGGGGCGGGAGCCCGACCTCGCCGCGGGATGCCAGGGAGCACGTCCTGCGGTCTATGCGCGGGTTGGTGCGGAGGGGCATATGCCCGTCTTCGGCGAGGGGAGGAGGTCGGGGAGGGCTGGCTGGGTGGAGGACAACGTGTTCGCAGCGCTGGGCCTGCAGCGGGTGAGGAGGGCCCGTCCCTTGATCCAGGCGGACGGCGATCTCCTGTTCTGGCCCGTGCAAAACCGCGATGGCGGTCAACTCTCGTTCGCAAGCTCCGTGTTCAAGGTGGGGTTCAAGCCGCGGCAGAGGGGCAGGTGCCATGAGGACGAGGAGGACCGGAAGAGCATCGTGCTGGATCCCATGCAGCGGGTGCAGTGCCGGGGAGGCGTGACGCTGGTGATCCTCTCCTTCCGTCCCCAGCGCCCCCGCGCGTCGGTCAGCACGGGCATACGGTCAGGGATCGTCGAGTGTGAGGTTTGGAGGGACGAGGGGGAGGAGGGGGACCGACCCGGCCGTGTTGCCGCGGGCGGTATAAGATTGTAGCAGGTTTATGGGTATATTTGAGGAATAAACCGAGGTTGCGATAAGAGGATATCGGAGGCGGACAACGCGCACAGCACCGGATACGCTGCAAACTACACCCTTCAGGGTGGAGCTGGATTTGGAGGGCAGCCGCAGGGCGGCATGCAGGGGCAGGCGCAGGGCCAGGTGCAGGGGCAGCCGGCAGGGTCCAACCCAACCAAGGTCGTCGATGCCAAGGGTGAGGTCAGGAACTTCAACGACATGACCCCGGTGCTGCAGCACATCAAGAGCCTGGAGGAGGTGAACCAGAAGCTGAAGTCGCAGGTCGAGGAGCTCATCAACAAGAATAGCAAGCTGAGCGAGAGGACGAGGCACGACATGCAGAAGGTGCTCGACACCGTGATGTCAAAGTTCGCGGACGCCCTCGAGACCAACGATGCGGGCACCAAGGAGCGGCTCCTGACCGGCATGAAGAGGCTCGTGGAGAACAGCGCCGAGGACAACGGGGTGTGGAGGATGATGGTCTGCGCATCCATCGCAACATCGGAAGTCGCACCCTCAGGGCAGGGGCTGCAGAGCTTCGACTCGAGCTCGGCGATCTTGTCAAGCCCATTGTAGAGGTACAGCGTCCCGGAGGTGCTGGACCATGCGGTGGCCACCTCGCCGCTTGGCACAGAAGAGCTCGATGCAACAAGGAATGCACCCGTGCCGCTGCTGGCCCATAGGTAGGTCTTGAGCTCGAGGCCAGACTTGGAATACCCCTGCATGAGATAATGGCCATCGATCCACACGGCCACATAACCAGGGGTTATCTTGGCACTGAATACCACCTGATGGCTCTTGTCGTCTCTCGGGAAATCCCCACTCTCCGCGTAGGCCAGGCCAGTGTAGGAGACGCCGGATGTGATCGTCTGAGAGCCATCCCCCGCCCTTGCCCTCATGACCCAGGCACCCCCCACGGACACGACCCCGATCCACACCCCCACGTCGCTCCCCCCGAACTCCAGCAGCTTCATACCCTGTGGTATGCTAGAGGGGAACACGACATCGAAGACGAACACGGCATCGACGGTCCTATACCGCGGTGCGATGGCCGGGATACTACCAGAAGGGGCGAAAAGGCTGGCATAATTGATGTTCTTCAGCGGCTCGCTGTCCGAAGAGGACCGGAAGCTCCCGGGCATGCAGGCCTGGCAGGCCTCCCCGTCCTTCCCCGTGAAGCCGGCGCCGCACACGCAGTCCGCCACCGATGCAGCAGCCTGGCCCACGGTGGACTGGTTGTTCGGGCAGGTGATACAGGAGGCGAGCCCCAGCGAATCCCTGTAAGTGCCTATCCCACAGGGGACACACACACGGTCCGAGGTCTTGTAGTAATAGCCCACGTCGCAGACACACTGGGAGACATCGATAGAGCCTCTCCCTGCGGTGACCATGTGGGGAGGGCAGGCGCTGCAGAGCCCGGAGTAGGGCTCGGGCTTGTATGTGTTGTAGTCGCACGGGGTGCAGACGGCGCCGTTATTCCCGGTGTAGCCCGGCTTGCAGTAGCACTTGAGCACGTCCGAATTGGCAGGCAGGGAGGTCGAACCCTCCGGGCACGGGACACAGGAGCCCACGCCCATGTAGGACTTGTAACTTCCAGCCGGGCATTCCACGCAGGCCGTTCCATTCCAACCATAGCCGCGGTAGCACTGGCAGGAGGTGATCTCCTTGCTGGCCACCGGGCTGTAGGAGAAGTCGGGGCAGCGCCTGCATAGAGAGACGTTGTAGTCCGGGTTGTAGAAGGACGAGGGGCAGGGGCTGCACACCTGTGCGTCGGCCTCGAAATAACCCGGCTCGCACTGGCAGGCCGAGATCGCCGCACCGCCCTTGACCAGCGTGGTAGAGTGTATGGGGCAGGCCGTGCATTCCGCATCGCCGTCGCTCTCCTTCCAGAGGCCCAGCGGGCACGGCTGGCAGTAGAAGTTGGAGTCCCTGTAGTAGCCCGCCCGGCAGACGCAATGGAACTGGGTGGTGCTGCCGTAGGGGCTCACGCGATTGGAAGGGCAGTCGGTGCATAGCTCCAGCGCGTTGGAGGACTTGTACTTGCCCGGGACGCACAGGCTGCACTGGTTCGGGTCCAGCGCGCCGTACCCCATCTTGCACACACAGCCATAGATCGACGGGTTGCTCTCGTTGGATATGGTGTTGGCGGGGCACGGGGTGCAGGAGAGAGCGGCCACCCCGGAGTACTGGTTGATGCCGCAGGACCTACATACCGAGGAACCCGTGCTGGGCTGGAAGAGGCCAGCCGGGCACTGAATACAGGGGGAGTCCCCGTACAGCTCCTTGTACCACCCCGCCGGGCAGGCCGTACAGTCAGCACCGGTGTAACCCGGCAGGCAGGCGCAATCGGTCCTCTCACTGGCCACGATCCCCTGATTGCAGGCGATGCACCCGAGGATTATGGCATACTGTTCGAAGAGTTGAAGCTGTTGAATAAATGTCATCTTGCTACTGGTAGTGGAGGAATCGCATGAGAATCCGAGAGCGTTGATTTTGTTGATAAGTGCGTTAGAACTGCAGACAGTTCGTAATGCTGTTCCTTCCCAGCGAAAACAAAATCCAACTCTGGAACCAGGATAGGATCGTCTTGGAAAATTTCGCAGCCTATGAATCGACGAACGAGTTTGACATGATAGGTACGATTCATCGAAATCAAGTGTGGTCCATACATAAGATGTAAGTAAGCTTCATGTACACAAAGAAGTATCGCGCTTCGAAGAGGAAAATCAAAGTAGTTGTGAACCTTCGACCAATCAATGGTAATTGAAGTCATGAAGTGCATCAAGCTATGTAGCATGATTGAAGCTATCTGACTTGAGCGGGACAAGAAACATCCTCTTGATACCATCCATTTGCAGCCAAGCTTTGATGATCTCAGATGATGCTATGACACATGCACTTGGTATATACCGAAAAAGAAATGTGTTGGATTGGCGGAGGATTCCCAACAGTCTACAAGAATGACTCTTCCAGTCAGTACTCAATGGGTGAATGTGAAGATTTTGACGAAATTTCTTACCAAGATTGCAATTTACACGATTGTTTGTGTACATCATTTTGGTACTGTCAACACAAAACGTTTACACGATATACACTATAGGTTTCAGTGCAAGATGAGTTTGCTGTTATCGTGAACTGAGATTGCTGTCTTTAGGGCCGAATGCAAGACCACCGAATCCTTGCAAAACCAAAATCGTGAATCCGAAAACAAGCAATATCATTCTCAGATGCACGACTCTATGCCATTGCAACATATTTTTTAGTTAATTTATTTTCTCAAAGGGAGTGCAATTATTGAAGTGGACTCTGGGGAATATGAACAAATTAAGCAAATTTCACTGGAATTTTCTTCTTTTCTCCCTTACATTTGTCTTCTCGATTCAAGAATTTTATGTGCTTATGCTGAGTCATAGTAGAGTAATACCATTGGACAAGAAATGTTTTATAAACAGGCTCTGCTGCACTTCTACAACATCAAAAACTAAGTGCAAAGTTTACAATTTGTTCTCACCAGACAACATACTACGCTTAGAATTGGAAGTCCGCAAGATTCCAGTTCCCTGCTCTGAGCTGATTCATTTTTGGATACAACGGAAGGGTAAGATCCACCAAACAGGAGTGGTTGGAATTAGCGTAGATAAAGCTTTGTGTATGTTTAAAATGCATATTTTGGAGGAATCCAAGACTTCTGATTGGATTCCGATTTCTGGACCCGTCAAAAGATATCACAGCTCATACAACGAGTTGCACCTCTTGTTCCTGTCATCCACTTTCAACGTTACTCATACCATTAGGATGTATAATGATGTTATAGCACAATCATCATCTGTTGGTTTTTTTAGACAAAATACATTACAAAGAACATCAGCAATGCCCTTCGTGTTTCTTGATTTTACCACTTGGGATGCTACAAGTACAAAGGCATTGGTTGATGGTGGTGATGAAACTGGTATATTTCCGTGCAACATTAATACAAAATGTAACATGACTAAGTATTGGTCAAGGACACATCAGATGACCCCATTCACTATTGCGAATAATGAAATAGCTCTGCTTCTCACAGAAGCTTGCAATACAGAATTTCGTAATATAAAGCTCAGAATGAAGGGGGACACTCTGTCAAAAGGTTTGAGAGCGGAATTTCATGGAGGTATGCAGGACTCGAAGTATCCTTGGGTCGTTATAATGCTGTGCAGGAGCTTCAAATCATTGGCTCAAATTTCAAACAGTGAGTCTTGGCATCTTGGTAATTTGTGTGAGAATCCAAACAAGATGATCAATTATTCTTTTGTAAAGCCGGGAAAAGTAATTCGTGATATGTCATTGTCCACAGAAGGTTCGGTTTCCATTATACGCAACCTAGCACGGCAGTCGGGGACTAGGTATATTCTTTTTGACGCTGGATGGTATGGGAGCGAGTACGACTCGAATAGCGATCCATTGCGCCCTACTCCTTTTCCACGTGGATTAGCCCTTAATATAACCTATGTCGTTCAGTATGCAAGCATGTACAACATGGGTGTCTTCGTGTATGTGAATGATATCGCACTTTTGCGTGCAGCATTCAAAATATTTCAGACAGTTTCAAAATGGGGGGTTGTTGGTGTTAAGTTCGGATTTGTCAAGATGGGTTCGAACTCAGATATGCGCCGTATTACTGGCTACATCCAGGAATGTGCTAAGCGTGGACTAATGGTAAATGTGCATGACAATTATAGGGAGTATGGCATATCGAGATCATATCCCAATATAATTTCGAGTGAGGGCGTGTGCGGCGACGAGCACAAACACATCTCTCCTGAATATGTCTTGTTATTGCCTTACACAAGGATACATGCTGGCTGGATGGATTTCACTTACACTAGTGAATGGATCAGACTGTCAAACCGTTCGATGTCGCTAATGTTTCAGCTTAGCAGTGCGTTTGCTTTTCACAACGGTCTGTTGCATATTTTCTGGTATTTGCATCCTTCAGCTATGACCCATCGCGGGGATGGTTTGATCGTGAGTTTATACAAGGAATTGCCGGATACGTGGATGCGTTCCGAGATTCTACTTGCTGAGCCCATGAGATCCTATGCGATTGCCAGACAAGATAAACAAGGTCGATGGTTCATTGCAGTTTTAGTAGCTCAAGAGACACAAAAAGTTGAGATTCATCTTGGAAAGTTTTGTTCTAATCGCACGTTTTCTGTTACTATGTACGAAGATACAATTGAAAGTCATCAAGGACTAGCAAATGTGCCCAACAATCGTTGGCCTGCAATCATATCATCACGCTTAAGTTGTAATGCAACCTCCGTAGTTCAGTTGCAAATGCATCGAGGATCCGGCCTTCTTATAGTGCTAAGACCGTGATTTGATATTGGAGTCTTTCCATTACATGTTTCGGTTTACAACACGACAAGCGACAGAATCTCCCGAAAGAACCTTGTTCAAAAATCAGTTGTTCAAATGGTTGGTGGCAAGGGATCATCGCGAGAGAGGAAGAGGACAAAGCAGTTAGAGTTCTCTTGCGTCGATGTTTTTATAAGCAGTATCTTGTCACTTGTTCCGGAGGCTTTACGACCACTTCTGAAGGTAAAACGTCAGCAGACAAGCTACAAGTGGTACATTTGCGAAGAAATCGTACAACATCCACTGTTTTCCCGCTTTGTGGAGATTCCTGTCCGAAACCTTTGCCAAATCTGAGTCGAGTATGATGAGGTTGTTATGATAGACGTTCACGTTGTTGGAGTTTATCTCTTCCACAGTCTCGATCGGGGGCACGTGCAATCTGGGCTGTGGGTTGGCGTGGACCCGATCAAAAATCTCCTCTAGGCTGAAATCCATGTACCGTGTCAAGGACTCGAGGAAGGCCGATTGATCGTCTGGGAACAATGTCATCTCGTACTCGACATGCTTGGTGAAGGGTTGTGTGAAGAGCACGTTGGATGCCCCGGACATCTTGTAGATGTACACCGTGCTCTTGTCCGTGCCCGTATCGCCTGGCATGTTCCTCTTGTAGGCAGACGTGTGCAGCGGCTTGGCAAAATTGGCGGCGATGGAGAAGCGGAGTGAGGTGGAGGCCACGAAGTTGTTGTGGTCGAAGTACGGCTTCTCATAGTCAGCATCGTTGTGGCCCCTGAAGACGTATATGGCGGCCTTGTCCCAGAACGATTCGCTGCAGAAGGCATTCACATCTTCCTTCACCTCCTGCTGTATCCGGAATAATTCGGAGAGGTACGCGTACACGACCGTCTTGGTTTCCTTGTAGTCAGTCACCCCAGAGGATCCGGGTGACATCATCCTTGCTGAGTGTGTGGTCGTTGTATTCACGTATGTAGTTGGGGAAGAGCTTTTCGGTTAGGATCTTGCGCACCTGTTTGTCGAGGATCTTCCTCATGTCCTGCACGGACTTGATCTTTCCCACCCTCGGGTCGCAGTGCTGATCGAATATGACTTGGATGTCAGAGCTCATAGGAACCGAGCCCGAGTCAGACAAAGGCCTATCAGGATGAAAGGACAGTTGGCTGTCTCGTACTCGTGTTTGAAGCTGACTTCTCCTGGATGACCCAGGATACTCTACTCCAGTGTGAATCTGCTGAAAGGACCCCTGTGGAGGCCTTTGTTGCAGCAACCGTGTACCCGTGGGGGACTTACAAGGTAAACAGAAGGGGTGCGTCTTGTGGAGTACGACCCGTTGGAAGCAGCTTGCTGCCATGCAAGGACGGGGTTCTCTTCCCTGCGAGAGAGCATGGTATCCTCTCGAAGGTCAGAAGGGATGCTTGTCAACTTCCAAGGACAGGACACCCCTCCTTTCTGTAGCCAAGAGACGGCACCCCTGGCTCATTCCTCGAAGCTATAAAAGGATGAAACTCGTCAGAGCTAGGTGGTCCTCTTCCCCTTTCGTGTGTGTTCACGATTGTGTGTGTGTGCGCGCGTGAAAGAAATAAAAGAGAGTTAGATCTCCTTCTGTTTCACCGCTTTCCCTCCTAGTAAAGAAATCCAACGTGAGTTCTTGTTAAGGACAGGACACCCCTCCTTTCTGTAGCCAAGAGACGGCACCCCTGGCTCCTTCCTTGAAGCTATAAAAGGATGAAACTCGTCAGAGCTAGGTGGTCCTCTTCCCCTTTCGTGTGTGTTCCACGATTGTGGGTGTGTGTGAAAGAAATAAAAGAGAGTTAGATCTCCTTCTGTTTCACCGCTTTCCCTCTTAGTAGAGAAATCCAACGTGAGTTCTTATTGAACTGCGCTTGAAGGTCCACTCGAGAATCTTCGAGGTGTGATAAGTACGACCACTATCAACACTGTCGTCACATACGACAGCCTCCTGCTGGATGACAGTCGTACGCATGTGACTGCGGCGACATGCCTGTCACCGTAGGAAAACGCGGCTCGGCTGACCCATTCAATGTCTCCTTCACAAAGCTGCCCAACCGTGACATGCTTCGACTCATGAAGTCCGAGACAACGCTACCCGACTGAATGCTCGTTCTATCCATGTTTTCTTGAACGACTTCTTTCAACACAACAACTCCGAGAGGAAAACCAGGCCTTCGCGTACCAAAATGTTAGGAAAACTTCCTACAACTATCTCTCGATCCAGTGTTGACACACGTAGTGATCCCGTCAAGAAACCAAAGAGCAAGCGGGTGAGAGCAATGCACAACTCAACGATACTTATATCAAATCAACGTCAAAGATAAAGAAAAGTAAGTAATCTAATTTCCTAAGAAACGAGACTGCCTAGGACACCTACTTAAGAAAGACAGAAAGTCAGTAAACATATCCTATCAGAAAGGTGTCGAGAAAATGACACATAATTACATTTGGACGTCTGGAAGCATACAACTTATGAAAAAATTCACAGCGAAACAGTATTTACAGGTGCTCAAGAGAGAATTGATATATTGTCGGATAATTCTTATTTCCTGAATTCAACATTCTTTCTCAGCTGTGCCCTTCGAATGGCCCCAGAAACACTAAATTAGAACATGGATTCTGACTGTTCACAATCATCCTAATGGAAGTTGTTGGTCTGATCTCATACATTTTTCACAGAACGAGTAGTAACTGACACTGGATATCAGGAGTCGACGTACAGCTTCAGCAAGAGTAAAGTTAAAAGTCAGACATTCTTTTGTTTTATTTCTTACTTGATTGGTGGACCTAAACAGATATTTCGATGGAAAGCGTTTGGATTGTAATCGCGAGGACATATACATTATGTACGCATCGATTTTGTCGTACTGAAAGCATTTCAGTCTCACATTTTTCAATTGTTTCAGTTGGTAGTCAAAACGCCTGATATGGATAAGACACTTTTGAATACCAAGTGAAATGTGAGAACGACAATTAAAGGAAATGTTCTTAAAATTACACTGTGACAACAGATGATCAATAGGATCTCTGCAAGGAACGTGCAATTCTACATTTCTTGGCCAAGTTTCAAACCGAGACCACCACATTGCATTCTTTTCTGCACTTATCCAGTCACAGTCCTCATATCCGATTTCATCCATTATTTGAGATGGCACTCGCTGACGATCATATGATTCGTACAAACGAGAATAAACATCCCTTGGTTTGCCCGCACGCAGCCTTTTCATCGATTGAACGATGTCATACGAATAGCCTTTATGACCACATACTCGTTCGTACTTGCACGCCATCATACCATTCAAACTTGTCCCTGCTGTTTTTGCTATATGTACATGACCATAAACAAGGCTGTAATTGTAATATGCATACCCATTGATGGTCAACTTTGTGTAATCTTCGTGTCTGGCAGAGATTTCGAAGAATAATCGGTTCAGTTGACTTGAGAAAAGTCCAACCAACAAATATATAATTGAATAAATAGGTTTCATGATAATTCTAAACCCTCCCGGACGACTTTTGTTGGCCTTAAAAATCCGTGTACATGTGAAAGGAAATTGCACGATGTATGAAGTAGTCTAGGCAAGGTTTCAATAAATGTATTATACATTTTTTTTCTGTCAGGTTTATAGTTCAAACTATAAATTGGACTCAGCGAAAATTCATCATGCCGGTGGCGATGGAAGGAAGATTGATTGCAATTGTTCTCAGTACGCTGTTTGTTCCTGACAAACCAAACAAGGCCTAAGATAGGGAAATCATTTGTCCATCGATTGTCTGTTCTTGTATTCTCTAATTATGCAATATGAGAGTAACAAACAGCGTTGAACCTCGCTTGATGGAAGAAAACCTCTACGACGTAGGCTTGTTCTGAACCTTGTAGTCATCTGATCATGGCATGGGAAGTTTGATCGAAGCAATTACAAAAGTTATTCTGGAAACAATGCATTGACTGCCATGATCATGGCTGAATATCGACAATCGTTCAGCGTATTCAGGTACTTTTATTCCATGTTCAAAGAAAACATCATTCTGACTATTCTCAACGACTTGATACAGATGAGCCTGAATTCTTCTTGAATTTTTTCCTTCACTTCTTCACGAATGTATTCCATTTCAATTGCCCTCTGCGGAAACTGTAGCCCCGAGTCTACATTGATCCAACTGTAGAAAGACGACTCATACTCGACAAAAATCTCCTGCGATTCCCTGAACATGCGCCTGATTCCGGTTCCTCTTTTCAACTCTTCAAACCTCCTCAGTTCTTTATCCCTCTCGTCTCAGGAGTTAACATTGAGGGGACATGGCTGAGAATCACACCTATAGTAGGTTGAATGTGTCACTTGCGTACCAAAGCACTCATCAGCTATAGGTGCTAGTTGTTCACTTCCAGAAGAAGGGAAACATGAAGGGAACCGATCAGAGAAGCAACCTTCGAAGACATAAAGGAAATTCGATTCTCCTTGTTGTGTTGACGCCCTAGCTTCCTTTACCTGAATGCTTCGTCGGTTGAATATGAAACATATTTCAAGAGACTTCCTGTTGCTTTGCCATGATTGCGTTTTTTGAGGCTTCTCCCAACCTATTGTAATATGGCGGTGTCATTTGTGAGGAGGTGAGGAGTTTGAGAGGCTGGGGGAAGGAGAGGGGAGGGGTTGGAAGGGAAATGGACGCCTGGGAGGCCAGGCTAGTTGATATGCCTGATCGCTGCGAGAGGAGATGCCGGAGGAGAGACTGTTTACTCAAGACCACTAGCGAGGAAGGCAGGAGGGCGAGGAGGACATGAGAGGAGAGGAAGGAGAAAGCTACGGGTAGAGACGGTTTACTTGACAGCACTAATGAGGAAGGGATGCTTCAGAGCCTCCAGTGCTGTAATCCTCGTGCCTGGAGCTCGCCGGAGAGGCCCGGAATATGCCCAAAGGATGTCAATCAGGCCGATCCAAAGCAAAGAGACATAATCAGGACTTTTTGGAGAGATTTCCGATCAATTAGTACATGAACTGGTTTATAGGTAGAAAAACCCTGGATTTTCAACTCAATTTCCAGTTGAGTTTCGACCTCGAAAAAAATCCTATACGTATAAATACGTTGCAAGTTTGTTCTTCCCGGCTTCTCTCCCATATCATTTTAGTATGATACCTCCCCACGACCCCTCGGCTCAAGCGCCACACTGGCATTTTGTCGGGAGGCTCATAACCTGTTTCCACGGGCCCGGGCCAATCTCCGGACACTTAGCCTCCTGGCGGGCCTCCAGGGGGTCTGAGGCGGGGCTGAAGGCTGCAGTCGGTCTACTGACGGGCCCGGCCGGCAGGATCCGTCGAGAAACAGGGGGGTCAAGGGAGGTTTTCTTCCCCCTGGGAGAAATGTCCTATGGGTTTTTGGATCTGCGATATAAAAAAGTCTTGTCTCGGTCACGTGATGTGTCACGTGACCGGTCAGGTGAGCCTGTCAGCCGGGTCACGGCCCCTGTCAGCCGGCTGACATGTCACGGGTCTGCTGACACGGTCCGCTGACCGGTCACGGTCACGGCCGCCCGGGGGGGTCTGAGGCGGGGCTGAAGGCTGCAGTCGGTCTACTGACGGGCCCGGCCGGCAGGATCCGTCGAGAAACAGGGGGGTCAAGGGAGGTTTTCTTCCCCACTGGAAGAAATGTCCTATGGGTTTTTGGCTCTGCAAGATTTAATACCCTGTCTCGGTCACGTGATGTGTCACGTGACCGGTCAGGTGAGCCTGTCAGCCGGGTCACGGCCCCTGTCAGCCGGCTGACATGTCACGGGCCTGCTGACACGGTCCGCTGACCGGTCACGGCCGCCCGGAGAGATCGGGCCCCCGGCCAATCTCCGGACACTTAGCCTCCTGGCGGGCCTCCAGGGGGTCTGAGGCGGGGCTGAAGGCTGCAGTCGGTCTACTGACGGGCCCGGCCGGCAG